TTGTTGAGCAACTCTTGAATCTCTCCCTTGAAGCCCCTCATGAAGGTCATGAGTTCGTTTCTTGTAATGGGAGCAGACCCATCAGCCGGCTGCTGCTGAATAGGCGGTGCGCCGGCTGGATCACTGAGTCCAGTTTGAAGATCTTCCCGTTCTCTCCTTTCGGTATGACGGGTGCGTCGGGCCCTTAGGGTCCCGTCTGAAGCTGTGTGAGCTTCAACTTCAAATTCTTCCTCAGTATCATGGTCCGACTGAACTTGAGGGTCGTCCAGGGGACGCCTCTCTTCAGGAGTCGGTACAGACGTGGATGCCATCTCAGAAGTACTCTCCCCACAAACGGCGCCAAAATGTTTCGGGGTTTTCTGATGTCTTGCGGGAGAGTTACAATTCTGAGACTGGAACCGGACGCCTGTACCTGCAAAACAAACGGATGCTCCGGACGATTGGAGATCCGCCTCCGACGGTCAAGTTAGTACTTGATTAAGGAGTAATTAATGCGGAAATAAAAGTAATTGGGTCTCTCGAGGTGAGAGTGTTAAATGTGTGTGATCTCCCTTAATGAGGATTAATGGGCATATTTATATGCCTTGGGATGCGTGCCAGTACTAGGTTTAGGTTAAACCTAAGGTTGACTGGGCCTCCCACAATGATTGGGCCTTGTTGGCCGGTTTTCCCATTTGGCATGGGTGGACACGTGTCACAGTGCAATTAGTCCAAGGAGGACGAATCTCTTGATGACACGTGGCAGGCTCCTATTGGCCTACATGAAGGACACGTGGCGAAACCTGGCTGGCCCACGTGTCGGATGCTGATTGGTGGATAAAAATCCCCTAATCAATTCTCTATTTACCAAAAAAAAGGTGAGGAGGAAATTAAATATAAAAAAATCTCTGAAGGATTTAATTTTTTCATAATTATAAATTAAAAAATAAATAAATCAATCAATAAATCTCATGAAATAATTATTCGGCATATGATTGGTCAATTAGAGGCGACAAAACATGTTGTAGTCGGGAGTGCTCGCGCGACCCATGCACACCCAAGCTAGCGGGCGCTTCTAACGATGGTGTAGCGATGATGCTATGTTAGATGCAAAAGAATTATCGAGTGTTGGATCTCGAATAATGCTACGACGACGCTTGCACACAAAACATAGTGGCGAATGGAAATCCAGTGCCCTAGGCAAAATTCTTCGAAGCGATGCACTTACGAGGCCATCATGTTATGGTAATGTGATGATAGTGGCGACGTGTTGTAGTTGGGGGTGAGGAAAGGACTGCAATCAAAATTGGTTAAGTCGATTCCAATGATTTAGACTTTGGAACCGGTGAAACCAGGTCTTAAATTTCTGGATACGATCTTGGACCCTGTTGGAAACGGTTCCAAATTTGGGTACCCAATTCAAGCCAGTTCCTATTTTTTTCTAGCTAACTGTAATTATTTTTTTTATAAAAACTTTTTAACATGTTTTAAGATATTGCACATGTATACCTAGGTGTCTACCTACCTATGAGAAAAATTAATGAAAATAAATAAGGAAAATGATATATATAGCCCTTAGGGTTACATATAATCATTAAATTTACACTAGAGTTGTATAAAATTAGGAAATCAAAAAAATATAAACACTATTACACTAATTTACGCGTGTTTTTCAAGAGTGTATTTAGGGTTACATATAGCATTACCCAATAAATAAAATAAGAATTTTTAACCACATGATTTATAAAGCAAGTTTTGGTGGAAGAAGGATCCTTAGATTCTGATGTTATGTTACTTGGTGTGAAGGGGCTATCACCTTACTTGACTGCATCATATAATCAGTTAGTTTTAAGCTTTTACCGTCTACTAGTTTTGTGCCCCGTGCGATGCCCGGATTGTTTATTGAATATTTAGATAAATTTTTAATTTGTATATCAAATTTTAAAATATATCATTGATACAAAATTATTTAGGAATTGATATACTTTTGTGACGATTTGCTATCTAGAAGGCATGCAATGACTAATAAATAATGTCAGTGGAAATGTTCGATTTAATGCATTAAAAAAAATTAGCAATAAATAAATAAAATAAAATAAATATTCTAAGCCTGTCGGATTGACCCGAACACGAAACTTTGAGCAAGGGTTGAACATTTCTTGACTCGTAACCTAAAGTGACCCAATCTGAAATGACTCATGACCCAACCCTAATTGACAGGTCTACATAGTAATAAAACTATATTAAATTGTGATGTATATTATTTTAACCGGTTAGTATATATTATAAAGGTAAATTTTACACTTTGATCTGTTATAATTCTAAAAAATTATCATATAAATTTATAATTCAATTTGTACATCTGAAATATTGATATTTTATCGAAATTAAATCTTTAAACAATCAATTTTATCCTATCCAAATAGAATATAATTCTAAACTAACTTTTTTGTATCTTAAGAAGTCTATTTAAAACCATCCAACGTGCCGCGACACTTGGCGAAAAGTTGGAACGCCAAATGTCGTTGCCTCGAGACCTGACTAAAAGTTTAGTTTTTATATATTAGTTATTAGTTTTGTGCCCCGTGCGATGCCCGGGTTATTTATTGAATTTTAAGATAAATTTTTAATCTATATATCAAATTTTAAAATATATCATTGATACAAAATTAGATAGGAATTAATTTATTTTTGTGACGATTTGCTATCTAGCAGGCATGTAATGAGTAATAATAATGTTGGTGGAAATGTTCGATTTAATACATTAAAAAATAAAAAAAAAATAAGCAAAAAATAAATTAAATAGAATTAATGTTAAAAGCCCGTTGGGTTGATTCAAAATTTGGAACCCAAAACCTTGGGCAAGAGTTGAATATTTCTTGACTCGTAACATGAAGTGACCCAATCCAAGATGACTCATGACCCGACCCTAATTGACAGGTCTAAATAAGTACATAGTAATAAAATTCTATTAGATTGTGAAGTATATTATTTTAACCAATTAATATATATTATAAATGAATGTGTTTACGCTTTGAACTACTTCCTTTGCTCCAAAAACTATTATGATATTAAAAATAAATTTATATGATAATTTTTGAGAATTATAATCTAATAATTTTTTTGAATAAAATTATAATTCAATTTGTAAATTTGAAATATTGGTATTTTATCAGAAATAAAACTCTAAACTAACAATTTATCCTAAAATTCTATTCAAGTAAATTCTAAACTTGTACATGGCGCGACACTTGGCAAAAAATTAGATCGCCAAGTGTCGCTGCCTCGTGACCTGGCTAAAAGTTTAGCTTTATATATTAGTTATATGATATAATTACACTAATATTTTGTAAATGTAATGGAAAAACCAAAATAAACGAGTGAAGAGAGTGATTGGAGGAGTAAAGGTGGACGAATGACCAATAATGAGAGTAAGGGTGAACGAAGGCCAGATCGGCGGAGGGAGTAAGGGTGGACGGATGACCAAAATGTGAATGGAGGTCAGACCATCGACGGTAGCCGATTGGAGGTATTTGAGGTTGATGATGAAGAGCTAAGAGAATTAGAGTACAAAGGCTATGAGAGAATGAGAAATTTTAGGTTTTGTTGGTTAAATTACTTAACTTGAATCGCATAAGTGTTATTAGTAATTTAGTATGTTGAGAATTTGGGCCTTGAAAAGTTCACATATCATCTACAATAACCGAATCCAATAGCAGGAACCTGGTCCTAGATTTGATTAAACTAGGTACCCAGCATTGGAACCAAATAGATGTGGTACTCAGTGGGTGCCAGAACCAAACATTATGGACCTAGTATTGGAGCCGATTCCAACTAGGTCGTAATTTTTTTATCTAGACACAAATCTACTAGGTGTAAACCCGCTACATCCGGACCATATCTAGACTCAAACCCAATAGAACCAATTCTGGGTCTGAACTAACCATGTTCAAAAACCGGCTCCGATTCCATAACCAGGCACTTGGATTTTTTTGCTCACCCCTAATTGTGACCATCGCGTGATGGTTGGGCGAATGGGCGATGGTTAGAGCGCCATGGTTTGCTTGGCCACAAGCCTTGCTTGCTTATGCAAAGAGCAACAAGCCACAATAGTCTAGCGACACTTGAACAGTTGAATTTTTAGTTTCGACTCTACCCATATTGCTATCATCAACTTCGATGATATATAAATCAAAATTAATGCTTCGAGAATCAATTCTAGCCATTTCCAAACATCAATGTTTTCTAGCAATACACCACGTCTTTGATATGAACCATCAGCTTATCAACCTGTCCAATACGCCTCTTAGTACACTCTGAAAGCATCCAAATAACCACAAAATTACCTAAAGACACAAGTAGTGTGTAATAGAGCACAATGCATGTGGCAACAACTTATGTAAAAATGGCTCTTCAAAACGGCCAAAAGAATTAAAGAAACAACTATACATGCAACATAAATGTTTCTCACAATGGTATATATAAATGATCATCAGAGAGGATTCCTTAAGCTTAATATTGTTGGGGCTTGGAAAAGGAGGAATCATTGAATGAAGTAGCACGTGGGGTGATAAAAGGGAAAACGGATCTAGGTACATTGGATTTTCTAGCAAGTATAATGTTGTAACGAAAGAGATGTCAATAGCTAAGGAGTTGAAGCTAATGTTCAGCCGAAATTCATGACGGACACGATAGGAGATAAGTAGTCACAAGGATGTTAGTACTCTCATGCTGAACTGGTACAACTGAACTCACATATCTCTCACTCGAGGGGGGAAAAAAAAACATGTTGGCTCACCATCATTTAGCATTGTAGCCTTTGGAAAGATGGTTATGGAGCACATAACACATTTCGTGATATCAAACTGCATCAAACAAATTTATGATGCTAAATGTAGCTTGGTGGCTGGAATGAATCTTTCGTGACTTATCGCGAAGTGTAGTACGAAGAACTATCTTTTGCCAAATTTTTTTGGGCAGATGTGTGCTTCACCAGATTTTCAATGTATAGGTGATGTAAGTTGAACAATAGCATTAGCCTATTAATGTATTTAATATGCATTTAAAAAACAGTAGTCAGTCAATATTCTATGGCAAAAACAACTATGTACTATCAGCAGCATTATAGGCGATTGCACAGTATAGAATATCAAAGGATCATTTATGCAATCAATTGGCTACTGCAGATTACAGTAAAACAATAAAGGAACATATGCTACCAGGTGGAGCCTAGATAATTTTTATCCAGTGAAGAAATAGAGCAAAAGAAAAGAAACAAAATTCTTCAGAAGCTTTCAGAGCTGGTCTTATGGCTATATTGTCATTTCACAAACCACCTTTACAGCTTCCAGATCAATTTGTTTCTACTTTCCACCATGGTGACTTCAACGGGCAGAACATCGGATGTCTCAACACATTAGACACAAACTGCAGGTGCTTGCACACTTAGATTGCCCTGAGTATTACCGACGACCCATGATATGGTCAGCTTTGTATATCTTTCCAGAGCTAACTACTTATATGGCTGCAAAATTGGACAATATGTTGACAGTACTACGCCGTAGTCACTTTTTTCCTAACAACCCGTTTCCTCCGAGGCTTGGGAGCATCTGACTCTTTAGCAGAATCACCATTACCTTGTGGAAGCCCAAGAAAACCGAGTCCTGAGACAATGGTGCTCTTCGATATAAACCAACTGGAACCCTGCTTGGAATTATTGGTCTCAGGAGCCCGATTGTAAGCCTTTAAAAGGTCTGATTGAACAAGGGGGTCTGCCTCTATTCCCAGCCATGCCAGCCGTGATGTCTCTCCTACTTGAACATTCATGATCCTGCATGCAGTGAAAAGCACAAACCTTAGCAACACAGCAGTGTCACAAGAAACTACAGAGTATATAGCATGAGTAAATAGAGTGTTATGATTATCAGCTTGAATTCTAACCTCTCAAGGTTGAGAAACAAAGAATAGTATATCACAAAATTTACTTATTAACCTAATTGCAAACATGAGTAAATGCTATGTAATTTATCAGCAAAAGAAACAAAGGGATTTTACTGGAAAAAACAAGGGAAGTTAAGATTTTTCGATCAGACTACTTAGATAAAAAGAAAGCTTCAAGTGAACTTCCTAAAATTCAAATGTGTTCTCATTAATTTTAAGGAAGTCACCAACTCACCATCAAAAACATAAACTGCAAAAGCATTAACGAAAATACTTCACAATCAGGTGTACGTGCACCATAATATATCAATGAACAGGTAAAAAATCTAAGATGGAAATTAGACACACTTTGGTATCTTGATATCAGAACTTGGTAAAACATGTACCAGGCATACGCTTCAAAGCTCATAAGACTTCAATACTTCAAAAAAAAAAAGAAAGTTGAGACAAACAGATACTTCTCGGGAGGAGAAGGGAAGAACTGCAGACCTCAGAGCTGAGCTGAAAAATAGTGCTACTCCAATAACATCAAAGTAGCTGGATAATCCTCGGTCAATACCACATAGGAGCTGATAACGCAAATTAGCATAAATCCCAAGAAAGGCACCGGTGCCAAGTGCATTAGTCCTAACAGATGGTATTGTCACAGATAACCTGGAGAAAATGGAGCTTAATATACTTGCGTAGAAAAGAGTATTAGATACTACAAACAGTGTCCGAGAAAAGATGGAAACCTGTCATTCTTTTTCTTAGCACATAGATTTGACAGGGCACCTTGTACTGCACCAGCACTAAGCCCCACAAAACACAGTTCTGCAGCCTTGTAGAAAAATGAATGAATTCTTTTTTGTAAATCAAATTCCCTGAGAGGATAGCTCTTTTCAAACACATTGTTAGGAAGCTTTTGCAATGTATTCTGCAAATCAAATCGAAACGTGTTTCCATACGAACGACAAGGTGCAAGTGACCAAACAACAACTGCATTGCATGCTGCTGCTGTCAAGACATTAATAAGAGCTAAATCCCACTCCTGTTTTATCCTGCAACCAACAAAGACAAACATGTACAGAATCAGCTAAAGATGTATGCTGAAAAGGGAAAAAGCAAAACAAAGATGGGGAAAAAAAAAAAAAAAAAAAAGCTGCCTAAAGACTGCACATACTAAAAGATGAGAAAAATGATAATTGTGTAGAAACTACCTATCCTTGCGATTCTTTAGTTCCCACGAAGCAGAACAACCAATGGTCGTAGCCTGCTCCAAAAGAAGTCTATACAAAAAAGCTGGATCTGCAATCATCCTGTACAAAGCATACCGAAATAAAATTCAAGATTGTTTCCCACATCAAGAAAATAGAAAAAATACATAAATAAATTTCGAGAGCAAAAGCAAGTAAGCATTTGCAGATAGTTGAACAGAAGTGAACTCTCCTTCCCCTCTTATCCCTACGTGACTCTTAATGGGTGAATTAATGATGTTCTAGCACATTCTAATTTACAACTAAACTCCTAATTCCTGGAACCAAGAAAATAGCCACAATATCACATACTAGCCACCATTTTAAAATTTTAATATCGCCATTACATGATAGGCCAGATGGTCAACAAATTCATCTGCAAGTTGCAACAAGTCAATACAGAATGACATCAGTTGTCATACTACACCACAAAAACCTACATTTGTTCTAACTTCGAACCATGTTAATTAACAATAGATAAATAACAAGAGCAGTTACAACTATGAATTATTAAACAACTTTAAATCAGCCAAAAGATAATATCAAAGCTTTTCTTTTTAAAAGTAACCAGTTCCTCTCCCAGCAGCAAATCATGGTATAGCACTCTTGCAGTTGGCATTATAATCACAAAATGACAAAATATAGCGGTCTCGTAGCCACCCAGAAATGTATTTCCTTTAATGAAACACATACAGGGACTTAGTATGCCATTTACTTTAATGCATGGTTCACAGGGACAAGCTTGCTGCTTAACAATTTGAAGAGCACCTTCAATTTTAAAGCTCTATCTTCTATGATCATATACCAACGCCATACGTGGTGGTTGTTAAAATGCTCCCAGTCATCACTCTGCTAATTTCTTGTAAACATAATTTTATCCCCCCCCCCCCCCTTTCTCTGCTCAAAAAAGCAACTTACTACTTAGTAGAACATACAAGAAAGCAATAGATGAAGTTGAACTGTTAGGCACCAAAAACTTCTCAAAATCCAAAACAAGTAACACAAGTTCAAGAAAGTAACTTATAATTTAGACAAGAAAAAGTGCAAAAATCTAAACATGTGGCAAACCCCAATGGTCCCCCAAAAAAAAAACTTTTTAAGTTCATAAATAATTGTAAAAAGCAATCACCTCCCAATGAATGCTCTTGATATTCCCTGAGGAAGGCCACGCGCAATAGTTCGAATTGTGTTTGGTCTGGCATTAATTACTAAGAATTTAACCAGTTGAGCAGAGCTAACCAAACCCTGGAGTAAATAGTAAGATCAGATTCTTAACAGTGAAATTCAGTGAATGAGAGAATATGGTAAAGGGTAAATGGGTAATCACCATCTCAAAAGCTTGCCTAATCCCAGCTGGAAGGTCCATCACTGTTTTCTGCCACTCACTAAGAACTGCATCTAGAAATTTTCGATCAAATAGCTGAAACATGCACGACGAATGTTTTAGTTCAGGATGGACTTGTTTACTTTACAAAGCATGAGATGCAATCTAGGAATGAAAATGATTTACTTACCTCTTGCAAAACAATACGCCTCCTGAAAATTCCCCCATCATCTCCTTCATCACCATCATCGAAGTCATCGAAGTAGTCATCGTCGTCTCCACCATCGTCACCACCATCTCCACCACCATTATTGATTCTCTTCCCAATATCACCACCACCTCCACCTGTCGCTAGCTGTACATTAACACGCAAAGATTGCACCCAATTAGTAAATTTATATTACTTGGCAATATCCATAAAGAGTAGATCCTCATATATTTACCTAATAAAGTTTCAAAGAACCTCCATAATGAATGGAAAAAGTGTAAAATATTCACCATTTGTGGATATTCAAATTCATAAATATAATCTTCTCTGCTAAAAGATTTTTGTATTTATATTGCATAAACCAGACCGGGCAAAGGTATGTAATCCCTTGGTCCCTTTTTGCCCCATTTGACCATTTTTTGTGAGAGCTTTTTGGATCAAATAGGCAAAATAATAAGGAACGGAAAGAGTCGCTTAAGCAGCTTCACATCAAAAATAATAACTTGATAATCAAGTTAAGAACAGAAATTTTCCCAAGCTCCAAATCTTTTAGGTAGTAACAAAGCAACTTAATGCACCGACTATAGAACTATGTAGCAATGAAGACATCACTCACCAAGGTAATCATGATTCAAGTAACATTACTTCTTTCCCTTATCCAGTTCTGATTTCTAATGTGATTCTTGATATCTCATAGTTAGCAAGATCAAAGGAATTGTAATGGTATTGTTTATTTGTATCCTCACTAAAATAATGGATCCATTCTTATACATGCACATATTTTTCAGCATTTAATAATTGAAATCAACTGGTTATATTGGCAATAATAATACATTAAAAGTAGCATACTTGGTCTTAAGAAATAATAATATATAATAATTCATCGGACACCAACCCTAGGGGCCTTAATTTTTTAAAATGCGGTACCAGGCGTGAGCGTAATGCATGTTGTGACTAGGAGGTGCACGCCTGCTACATGAGTTAGATAATTTGACAAAATTTCTACAAAACAAAGCCCTTGTGGAATTAAGGTCCAAATCAAATTCCATACGGCTAAGTTCTCTTTATGTTATTTAAGCAACATTTAATTCTTAATAAAAACAAATCAGTTAAAACCAAACCTTACAAATTAAGACCAATCAAAATCTTATTTTTGTTTGCTTAATGCTATACAATATTAATTCCATATAAGTAGAAAAAAAAATGCAATTAGATATTAGAAAGATTCACATTACGACAAATATAACTTCGCTTGATAATGTTTGGTCTTATATATTAGCATACAAAATAAACAAAAAATCTAGATAAGATTACTTTATTTCAGGTAAATAGAACAAAAACTTATTTTATTGAGACCCATTTTGAAGTTAGTATAGAAGGACACCACATATCAATGGAAATTGTTTATTGGTGACAATCACCAGTCATGCTTTTAGGTTAGCCAATTTCCTTGTCTTTTACTCTCAAGCTCCCATAAAGATTAAACTCGCCAGTGGGTATACACTATATACACTACTCAGTCACGCAAACTTTCAGTTAGATTGACAAATTTAGGTAACGAATTGCATTCCTGTACCAAGAGTTTGAGCTGTCACTATATCTTTTGCTTTAGCCATGCTAAACTTTTTTCTAAATCTCTTTGAGTTTCCCTTGCCAAAAATCATACCATAAATGCATAATAAAAATAAAAAATAAAAGATTAGAGGCTTTGTGCTAACAAGGACAAACACTTTGGCCTTGCGCTTCATGCTTTTTAAAGAATCCTAACTAGGATAAAACTAAGGGTATAAGGTGTAGGTTATAAGTGTAATGTTTCTTCGAAACAATAATAAATCATTTAAAACACAGAAAAAATGCATCTGGATTACCTTTGCTCTTCCCCAAAGAAAAAAAAAAAATAAAATAAAAAATAAAAATAATTCCCATCATGAATGAAAAGGAGAAAAAATCTCAGGTCGAAAGAAAATTCCATTTTGACATTTATTATAAATTTGTTTCTGTAAGGTGGGGACCAAGTATTATTAGAATATATAATAATGGACTTAGAAACGCATTCATTCAACAAAAGATCCAAATAAGGAAGTATTGCCCCAGCCCCATAAAAAAGACCCCTGCAACTGTTCATTGATATACCCGAAAACAATGTATGTATTGGCCACGAGATATATTGGCAGCTGTAGATTATTTTAGTGGACAGAAATTTGAATTGGATATACTTGACAAAGTTGACGGTATGGATTATACTTCCTCGGTTAATTTTATTAATTCTATGCTCCTGCCATTTTCCTTTTAAGGATTTATAAAATTAGCTCAATCATTTATCTTTTGGGCACATCAATATATTTTATGTGACACCACTACCTACCTTTTTTCCAAACTTCACAAGGATTTCTTAGTTCTTACGCTGTTGCCTCTCTCCTAATTTTGACTACTTATATGGGTGAGTTTGTACTTTTTACACTAAAGCTTGCTAAAGAAACCAAAGACAAAGTATCAATTAAAAAAAGTGTATGTTCAACAGCAAATTTTCCTAGATCAATTCAGGGTGGCTCTCATTCATATAGAAGTGTGGTTCCAGCAATTATAGAAAGACTTATGCAACACAGATTAACAGTGACTTCATTACCAAGTCTACAAATCAATGTTCTCAATGTTCTCAAGTCTACATATCTGACAAATGTCCCGAAAGATAGAAATTTGGCAATAATATAGACATTTCTAGATTGTGTAACTAATAATATTCATTCATTCTACAGATTTAAGACCCAAATATTCAGTAACCCTCAAAAGAGATAGAACATGGCACACTTGCCACTGAAATTTCAAAACTAATTTCAATACAATATAAACATCTTCCATCATACTTACAAGCACTAAGCTCTAAATTCTAAATTGTCACCGAAGCCTTCAAGCCACCTTAAAAAGAATCAGTACACAGCTACTATGCATACAGTCAACAGATTGAGGCCACCAATCAATGTTCTTTGTTAGTCATACCATGTGACAAAAGTCCAGAGAGATAAAATCCAGCAATTATCAAAATTTATAAAGAGATTGCGCAACAAAATTGTTACCCATGTATTCAAGACCCAAAATGCCCACTTATTATTGCATACATCTCATTAAATTCCATAGCCCGAACCTTGCAGGGAAAGAAATAACCCAGGAAAATAGGTGCAGTACAAGGGCATTGGTATGGTCACCACTAATATGTCGAAACCGAAGTTGATGCAGTACAAGGGCATTGGTATGGTCAACACTAATATGTCAAAACCGAACTTGATGCAGTACAAGGACATTGATTAGACAGGGTACCATCACCACTCACCACTACTATGTCAAAACCGTATGTAAAACTTCATTTCACAAACATTCTTCCATCTTTACAATCAATACAATAACTAAACCATTCCAACTACTTTACAAGAATCAAATATCAGCAACAAATCATACCTTCAACACAAAACTCAAGAACAACAAACAAACTCAAGAAATTCATCCAAAAGAAATTAAAAAACAACAATCAATCTACAAATTCGAAATTCTCAACATAAATAATACAAAAGATTAAGCCAATAAAAAAAGGGGGGGAAGAGTGATAAACCTCAGGACTAGAAAGGGTTTGCTTCTGAGTCATATCAAGCTTAGACTTCTCCAAAGTAACAGCACCAAAAGCACCATACTTTCCCTTCATAGAAGGAGCAAACATCCCAGAAGACGACAATGTCGCCGAAGCCGAAGAATCCAAAGGCGCCGAAGAAACGCCTAAGCAGCGCTCCAAATGACCAATTGAAGAATCCCCATCAACAGGAGGAGTAGAAGATAGAAAATCCCTGATAAACAGAGTTTTCCTTGATTTTCCTGCAATTGGGTATGAAGAAATCATGGGTAAAATTGTGGGTTTTGTAAAGATAGACTTTTTAGGCGAAATTTGGGTATTCATGGGCATAATTTGAGCTGCTTGAAACACAGCGTGCGCCATTTTTCTGGGGTTCTTTTTTTTTTTGTAATCAGAGATTATTATATGAAGTGATGATTGATGAAGAAATTGATCAGAAAAACATGATAATATTGGGGGAAATGAAGATATGGAAGAAGAGATAAAATTGAGGTTAAAATTTCTCTCTCTTCTTGAAAGAGTATTGAGAGAGGGAAGAGGAGTTGAAGTGTGAGGGAGGTGTAGGTTTTTGTTGATAGTTGGTGTAAGCCGACAAAGGGGGAAACCCAATCCGAAATGGGTAACTCCGTGGTTCAGTTTACCACAAATCAACTCGATTTATTCGGGTTTGTTTGGCCTCAGTTTTGATTTTTAGTTTTTAGTTTTTTTTTTAAAACCAAAAACTAAAAACAGGAAACAAAAAAAGGTGTTTTCACTTTTCTGTTGTCAGTTTTCAAAATTATCATAATTTTAATAAGTTTATATAATTTTTGATTCATTATGACACACATATCATATACTTTTAGAAAACAAAAAACCAAAAACAGAAAACCACAACAATGCCAAACGAACCCTTCAATTTTTAGTTACCACAAAATAAGGACTTTGCTTTCATATTTTTAACCATATTTTTAATTTTGAGTTACCATTTTTTTTTTAGCTCGGTCTGCTGGCCCGGCCTGAAATTTTATATTTATTTTTATTTTGGCGCTGTCGAGGTAGGTGATGGTGGCGGTTGAAGCGGGTGAACCCTAGGTCGTTGATTTCTAAGATTCCCATATCAAAACCAAATTTATAAAACCAAACCCAACCCTAGGTATAGGGGAACATCCGGATCGAACCCAAGGGAGTGCGGTATTAGCTAATGTCTCTAGTTAAACTATTCCAAAATTTTAAACAATAGGGCTTGTCTAAGCTAGCAAGTCAACTCAATCAAAACTAACAAATAGAATTCAATTATCAAAATACTAGGCAATTTAGGATCCACATGCACTCACGATAAACTTGCCAATTTGTCGGGAATTTGTTCAATCAAGCAATGCGAGGGAAGATGATATTCGCAATCAAAATCACGCTATTTTCTAGGGTCAATCTAGATGTCTCTACAAATGACTTCAAAGGAAAATTGCAAAACAAGATCAATCGATAATAATAGCTTCCAAATCAACTTTTTGTGTCATTGAAAACTACTATGCAATCTAGCTTGATAATCAAGGTTAGAAAAGGTTAGCTACTCCTCTTCAAATCGAACACATGCACAAATTTCATCAACAAATTTTATCACATCATCAAATCAATCAAAAACCCCAAATTAGCTATAGCTTATCATTCATACATGCTTCACCACCCAGCAAAGGAACTACTCACTATACATTGTAAAATTGAAAAGCATAACAAAACTAATCATCAATTTCATCATCAACATTGCAATTCAAATATCAACAATCAAAACAAACAAACGATAGAAATTCAACAATATATCAAGAATCAAACATAAAATTGCATTGAAAAGGAAAGAATTCTTACAAAAATTTGATCAATATCAAAGTGAATGAAGATTAAAATGTAGCAATCATCAATTACCAAGTTTCTCTTTCTAAAATCTAAGAACAAATTAAAGTTTCCAAAATCTTGAGCTTTTCTCTCTAAAATTCCAATAAAAAATATCTAATAAAATGTCTAGTCTCTCTCTAAAAAGAAGAAATTTTATGCATTGTACAACTAACTAAGGAGAAGTTAGTTAAACGTCCAAAGAGAACCCCAAATGGCGCGACCTCCCCTCTCAATGCGTGGCCGCAAAGAAATAGGTACAGAACAGGGAGAAGAAGGTTGTATGGCCGCTCCTGCCACCTGCGCGCCCGCTTCTGGGAACAGGGGAGAACTTCCTCGTGCGGTCATTGATGCTCCCATGCGCTCTACTTGATACATGATGGGGGAGGCAGTCACTAGAGGTCTTCACGGTGGGTTCAACACTGATTTTGATGTCCACGCAGCATGAGAGCGCGGCATTGAAGACTTAGCTTTTGCACTCCTTCACTTTTAAGCTTCAAGGGGAAAGTCCGGCTTGCATCTTGAGCTTTGTATACCATGCAAAAACGCCATTGAGTTCCCTGAGCATCACCAATCTTCTAAAATCAAAGAGAAGAAAACAAGTAAAGGAGAAAAGGCAAAATAAACTAAGAAATGCAAGAAAATGAGAAAACAACTGACAAAAACACAAACTAGAGAAATTACAAGTAAAACTAAATAAAAAGAGATAAAAGAGATATAAAAGCAATCAAAATTCATCCTAAAAGAGGCTAAATGAGTGCCATAAATGACACTCATCAACGGTGCCCTTATTAATTAATTTGGGATGTGTTACCCCCTAATCCCTATCTCCTTTGTGTTACATCAAATTATGAATTTATCTAACTTATTAGTTTAGGATTAGGATTTGAATTGCAATAGTAATTGATGTTCTTGAAAGTTAATTGCCTTTTTGTAGGGAATAGTTTCAAGCCTTTAAAAATCCCACTGGCTTGAACCCCACTGTGATCATACACTAAATTACGGTGGCGTCCAAAAGGGAAGAAGATAGGGCAAAAGAGTCGCCAACAAGTTTTTAAGGAACTTGTAAACCGTTCACGAGGTGAAGGTTACACCCACTAACGATCCAAGAGATCGTCAACTCCATAAGGTCATGAACCAAATAAGGGTCCGGGGATGATGGTACAAATCCAACCTAAAAGAGATTGAACCTGCCCTAATAATAGGCCTCTACTTTATTTTGCTCGTATTCATGTGCGCTTTCTGACTAACATACAATCAATAGGATCAACCCTAAACCTGTTTAATCTATGTTGGTTGAATTTAATGCACAAATAAATCTATTATTGGCGATCACTTGAATTATAATCACAATTAACCTAAACAAGATTATTAATTATCTTATCAAGCGTGATTGCAAATACCAAGTTCCCTTTAAACATGCAATAAAAGGTGTGATCAAGCAATAAAGAATAAATAATGTATCAAGCAATATAATCAATAATAATTATGAATAATAATAATAATCACCATAATAATAATAGTAATCATGAATAAAAATAATCATTATCAAAATAATAATAATAATATTCATAAATTTTTATAACAATTATAATCATAATCATGTTCATGTTAATATTAAGGCATAATAAACATAGCAAGATCCTAGGCATGATACTAACAAGATTAATAACAAACCCTAGCATGTCACTAAACAATAAAAATCAAATCTTTAGCCCTAACATGATACTAACATGAATTAATATTAGGAAGAACATAGGAAGCATCATAACAATCATATTTAATATTAAAAATACCCTAGACATGATACTAGGAATAACATAATAACAATATAAACATGATTTCTACATCATAATATCAATTAATCAATTAAAGCACTTACTTTGATGCCTCGTACCTCTTTCTAATAACAAAATACACACGTTAGTAACTTCAAGGAAAATAATAATCAAAACAACTAAATTAAATAATTGAAATAGAGATTTGGGACCAAACCCTCAGAAATTAAAACCTTTCACGTCTAGGGCGAAGGCAACTTCAAATATGGCTAGGTGTTTCTAGATCTTGTGAATGCGGAATTTTGTATGAAAAAGTAAGGTTTAGAAAAGAATGCTAAAAGATTAATGTTATTGACAATTGATGAATGAATGATAAAGATGAAGAGAAGAGAGTTGATGAATGAAAAGAATTGATTATTGGTAATTCATAAAGTGATTGTTGATGATAGATGATTGTAGATGATGAATAAAACGGAGTTTTTGATACGATATTTATAGAGAAAATCATCCAAAAAAGAAAATTTATCAAAACAGAGTCTGAAGACCACAAAAACACATTGGCGCCAGCCCTGGCTCATTGGCGCCAAGACCAGTGGCTAGCGCCAGGCGCCAATGGCTGGCGTCTGGCGCCAATCCTGATTCCAGGCGCCAAGACCTGGGGTTGGACGCCAAACCGGATTTCAACACGTTTTCGAAAATCTGATAATTTTACCGTGTTGGAAGATAAAATAATATAATTTCAGTCGAAAATGCTATTTGATCTAATTAAAACTCTGAAAAGTCCTAATTGAATTAGGAATGAAAAGAACCTTTTAGAATGTTCTAGAAGACTAAAACCATTCCTAATTGCATTAGGAATGATAAATTATATTAGGCCCTCCCTAGATCATTGGGCCGTACTTAAAGCTCAAACCGGACCCAGTTTGGTAAATTGGCCATAACTTCCTCAATATTCATCGGAATTAGGCTTATAATATATCGTTGGAAAGGTCTTTGCAAGCCCCATACAACTACACCACTATTGGACCCATATCATGGACCAACCAAACTGGATTGGCTGTTTTCTTAAAACAAAGTTTTCAAAAACAGAAAGAAGAGAAAAGAAAAGAAATAAAAACTTTCCGCAACACTAGACCTTTCCACACTTTCGTTTCATTCGATTATGATTTGACGTGAAAGGTACTCATCACTGGGTTTGGTTTTGGGGAGACACAAATGGGTGTCTACAGAAGCCCCCACTTTGACTGAGTTTGGAGAAACGCAAGTTTCGAAAACGAAAGCCAAAGTATCGATAGGGACGGAGAATGATTCAGAACGTTCTGCGATCCTAAATCACTCTTGTAACGCCGATACCTGCAAAACTAGCATTAGTTAAACAGATAAGAGAGTTAAGAAACGCGTATCTTGCACCGTCGAGCACACGTCTCTGAAAGTAACCGATTGTTGCTGTCTTGCTGTTTTGATGACCTCCTATAAGCTAGAGAATGCCATCCCGCTTGAAAACTGCTACGCCTTGTAACTGCTTCCAATTAGAAGATTGCTTTGCCTGAAACTACCCTCCTCCGCATTGATAATATTCCACGTCCAAGGGAATACCATCAAAGATTATTTCTCTTGAAACAATCCTTAGTTTTTTGTGACAACCCTCCACAATCTAGGGAACGCCATCTTGCTGTTTGTTTTGACGATCTTCCACAATCTAGGGAACGCCGTCGATCAATGTTGCTACATCTTGAGCCTTTTCTTGAATCATAGTGACAACCTTTCCAATCATAGCAAAAGTCGTCGAAGACTGCCCATCTCGTGCTATCTTCTCAAATCTTGGGTGACAACCTCCACAATCTTAGCAAATGTCGTCGAAGACCGCCCATCTCGTGCTATCTTCTCAAATCTTTGGTGACAACCTCCATAATCTTAG